GGGGGCTGTAGCAGGAGAGGAGAGACAAGAAATTACATGCTCTGATGGAACCAAACAAACTGTTCAAAACAATGAGAGGTGATTCTAAGTAGCCCAAAAGTACACAGTATGCTGAGTTCTTCCTTTTAGACATATGCAGCATACAAATTTTTCAAAACTACTATAAGAAGACAGGTTCTAAAGGACAGTCAATCCACAGGCCAATAATTACAACTAGATTGGAAGAGGTGGTTAGGCAACAGGATATGACAGTTTTTTTCAGGCTTTATTTTACCTTGTTGCATTTCCAAATAAGAGCCAAAGTTATTTTTATGATCAAAGAAGCTGTAAATTATGGAAAGCATACATAGCACTACTTCCAAATATATCAGCATCTCAGATGGGCACAGATTATGTGGCATGCCAGTACAGCAGATTTAACCCATTATCCATTCCATGATTGTATTATGCATTCTATTCCTGTTCTAGGAATATGCTTTATCTGACTGACAATGCTATCCCAAACAGACTAACACCCTTCAAAGCCCAGTCTTAGAAGGGTGTAACTTTGCTTAGGGTTGCAATGTTAGCAGCTAGAATAAGCCATCAACAATAGCTATTCTAGCCAAAATATGTTTCTTTTAGGAATAAGGCCCGTTGTGGAAAGATGTACAACATACTCTAGAAAGAGGCTCTGGGTGGGTGTCCCAGCCTTGGCACTCAGCGTCAATTTGCTGTGGTGACCTCAGCAGAGTATAATGACACAGAGTCCACTGTTTTCTCCAGGGGAACTGATCTCTGCCATCTGAAGAGCAGCTGTAAATCTGAGTAATCTCCAGCCCTCACCTGGAGAGTGGCAACAATGGTTCCCCCAGAGGAAATGGCTCATTTGGAGGCTGGAGTCTATGGCAGTGTACCTGTCTGAGGTCCCACTCCTCCTCAAACCCCACCCTCTCCAGGCTCCACCTCTCAAATTCCAGGAATTTCCCAACCTGAAAAATTACTATGCACCCCCTCGCCCAGATTGTCCGGAGGTATGGGCTGGGGTGTCATCAATACGCAGATGACACCCAGCTCTATTTGATGTTGGGCGGCCAGTCGGACTCCAACCCAGAAGATCTGCACCGGGCTTTACAGGCCGTGGCCGGGTGGCTCAGGCTGAAATTAAACCCGGTGAAGACGGAGGTCCTGTGCTTGAGCCAGACCGGGGTTAGGGCTCCCGCTCCCGGCCTTTGACGGGGCACCTTTGGTGCCAGCTTCAGAGGTGAGGAGTTTGGGAGTGCTCCTGGACCCCACCTTAACGATGGAGGCCCAGGTGGCGGCCACTGCCAGATCGGCCTTTTATCATCTTTGGCTGGTACGGCAGTTGGTTCCTTTCCTCGACCGCAATGACCTAGCTACAGTGATCCATGTGATGGTCACCTCTAGGCTAGACTACTGTAACACTCTTTACATGGGGCTGCCTCTGTTGCAAATCCGGAAGCTGCAGCTGTTGCAGAATGCTGCGGCCAGGTTGTTGGTGGGCGCCCCTAGGTGGGAGCACACCCGACCTGTACTGAAAGCGCTGCACTGGCTGCCTATAGCATACCGAATTCGCTTCAAAGTGCTGTAGGGCCAGGTCCTTTTCAGTGGCGGCTCCTATCTGGTGGAATGAGCTCCTAGAGGAAATCAGGGCCCTGCGGGACCTTATGCAGTTCCGCAGGGCCTGTAAGATGGAGCTCTTCCGCCAGGCTTTTGAGTAGGAGCCGCCACTGCCACTACCACCGCTGCTCCACTATAGAGCGATACTGCTGGAGGGCTGGGGAATATCTGTTTGTGGCCCTAGCCCTCCCCTCCTGTTATACAAAATGTCAGGAGTTTTCTATTTGTGCATCTGATGGAATTGAATTTTAATTGTTTTAGCTTTTATATACTATATGCACTTTGTGCCTTATGTAAGCCGCCCTGAGCCCGTTCATGGGGAGGGCGAGGTATAAATATAATAGAATAAATAAAATAAATAATAAATAAACCTGGAGGTGACAAGCGCATCTCCTTCCCAGCCAACCATCAATGTACCATTATCTGCCCTTCTGACTTCAGGTTTCCCTCCCCCCACCCTATGAAAAGTACAGTCTTTCTCAAAAGTAGGGACCCAAGCAGGAGGGAGGCGACCTCAGCAGGGCATAATGACACAGAGTCCACCCTGCAAAGCAGCCATTTTCTCCAGGGGAGCTGATCTCTGCCATCTGGAGAGCAGTTTTAATTCTGAGTGATCTCCAGCCTTCACCTGGAGATTGGCAGCAATGGTTCCCCAGGAGGAAATAACTGCTTTGGAAGGTGGACTCTATGGCATTCTATTCAGCTGAGGCCTCTCTCTTCCCTAAACTCTGGCTTCTGTAGACTCCACCACAGGATCTCCAGGAATTTCCCAACCTGGAGCTGGCAACCCTAGTTAGGACTGGCCCCTCCCCACAAAGGCCAAAGTAGACCTAGAAAGGGCCTTCTGCCTTTGCCTTTTTACTTGCAGAACCAAGCTTGGCTGCCCAGCAACAGCCACTGAGGGAAAAGTTAGCCTGACAGCAGGAGGAGAAGAGAATAGTTTGATGGCCGGTGGCACATCTTAGTAGTCAGCCAGCCGCAGAGAAGCCAAGCAGAAGTGTCTTTATCAGGAGAGACAGCCATTTTGGCAGTTTATTCTGTCAGGAAAGACTGGCCAGGCCAGCAGTGGGTGGGAGAGAGAAGCGGACCCAGCACCCAGCCAATGGCATGCGAGTACTCGAGTGGCAGTTGATGGGCCAATGGCTGATGAAGTGCACAGCACAGCCAATGGGAGAGACAGAAAGTGCCAATACATTGGGCTGATATATATATATAAGGATTGAACCCATTTAACATATAGAGTGGCTATCTTTATATATATATATACACACACACATATAGAGTGGCTATCTCTGCAGTGGCAGCCAGAAAGACTTGTTTGCCAGGATTTTCGATGAGGTATGACAGCAGGTATCTCTTGAGAGGCATATTTTGGAAGTTTATTTTATCCAGTTTTAATGTGTAAGCTACCTCAAGCCAGGGTGCAAACAGTTAAATAATCTTCTGGAATCACCCTTTCCCCTGCAGTCTATGACAATCCTGTAAATAAGCAGTCTTTCAGCTATGATGCTGTGTTACTGATCCATGTCATTTTCATCCTTGATAAGGCTTATACTTTAAAAACAAAGACTGATATGGCCTGTGTTTTTATATTTGCCAACTTGGGGGGCCTGATTGGGTGGAAAGGTGGCATTAAAATGTCTTAGATAAGTAAATATGATATACAACTACATTCTTCACTGAAATTGAAATGCCTCAACTATAGGAAGAACTGAATTTGCCATCATACAAGGCTTTTTCCTTAGAAATAACATTTCAGTGAAAAAGATCTTGTGGAGCAACAGAACATTTATCAAGTGAAAAATGATCATGGAGAAAACCTAATGTGCAATAAGCGTGTTTGTGCTTCTTCCTACCATGGATAGATCTGCTTTCCACTCCTCAGTTAATGGAGAAGTGAAATTGCTACTCAGGGCCCTGCTGCTGAGACAGGAGCAGAAGCAGAGTCCACTTCATCAAATGAGCAGGGCTGCTCAAGGCATTGACAGTTTCAATAACCAAAATGCATCCAGTTTCATTAGTTACTGCTTTGACTTTACCTATTTGTCAGTAACTACATTCACACATCACAACAAACTATAGTTGTTTAAATCAGTTTGTTGCACAAACCCTGGTTGGTATTTCCGAGGTACATAACACAGCACATACCCATAGCCAACCATTATTCGTGGGATGAGTATTCCCATATTCTTCTCTGTTCCTGCAGAATAGCTGCATGGGTTCTTCTACCACTTTATGAATGGTCTTTTCAGGGACTGGAAGCAGACTAATGTGGGAATAATTTGAGTGCCTTCTGTGCACCGTTGGCTGGCTACAAGCCATAATACCTGTATATCCCAGATATTCTGCTGCTTGCCTCCTGTCCCATTGCCAAGCAGAATCCCTAGATGCTATCCCAAGCTCCCTTGCATTGCCAGGCTGTTGGCATTACCTATGTATGGCAATGCATGCTGGGTAGTGATTAAGAGTTTGGGGGGGGGGGGAGGTGGAGAGAAGAAATCCAGGCAAGTCAAACTTCCTCTTCCTCATTGTTCTTGGCCCTGCTCTGCCTATGTCACTAATTCCTGAAACCAAACTCATCCTTTACAGTCCCTCCCTCTTTCCATTCAGCTGCTTCAATGCACCTCCCCAATGGGCCTGCAGCTATGTGGGGCCAGGAGATATTGTTTGTCCCTACCCCACAGGGGGCTGTTTTATTACTTGAAAAGACAGGTGGGGAAGGAAGAGAAGAATGCCTAGTCCCACTGCACTGTATAGCATTTTAAAATGGGGACAGCATCCACGGGTCAGACCTGGGGATGCCATGATGTCTAATTTAGTTCTGTTATTTTCTGCCAAAAAGTGAAAACTTTTTTGTTCTGTATGGCATTCCCTCCCTTGCCCAAAGTTTCCATTATCATTTTTATGTCTTACATATTTTAGTTCTAGTTTTGTTTTAATTAGGTATTTTTAGAGATGGTGGGTTTTAATGGTTTTAAAATGTGATTGTATGATGTTTTAATTTGTTAGATGCCTTGGTGGACCCTTCTGAGGGCGGAAAGGTGTGGCATAAATTTTGTAAAATACTGAAGTGCACAGGATTGCTGCCTCCAATGCACTTACCACTGACTTCAGTTGGCAGAAAGAAATCACACCTTGCATAGAATTGGGCTGCTAATCACTGCCTATCAGGAAGTGGTGGCATTGAACATAACAAGTCACCAAGTTTTTTCCAACAGTCATCAGTTATTGAAAACGCTTCCTTTTATACACAGTCCCAAAAGAAAAGTAATTAATGTATTTAATTTCTACAAAGTATCAGGAAAAAACCCTCGGTTGCCACCCAATCTTTCCTTTTAAACACAACATACAAGAGAAGACATCATTGCTCTTTATTGGGATATTACACAGCAGCTAAAGCCTTTTAAGGCAATGTGATGAATCTGTACTCAAAGCTTCAATCATGTTTCGTAATGTCGGAAAAGATTCTGATACCAATGGAAGACTTTTGTAAGAAGGTGAAATGCTGAAAAAAGAAAAAAAATAGAAAGATTAACAGAAACAAAGAGAAAAATAGAAATAAAATGTGTACATTTGCTTCTAATATTTTGGATGAGCACCCCAAAGGCCCCAATATTCATTTAGAACTTATTTAAGGTTTTGTTTAGGGAACGATATGATGGCATCTTCAATTCTTAGACTAATAGTTAATTCATTATTTCATACTTCGAAGCTTTTTGCACAATACATGGTGTTAAGTGGTACACTGCCATCATGATAATCAGTGAAGGCAGCTAGTTATAGAAATGGTTCTACTCCAGAACACAGAGAGACTGAAAGGTTCCTTCTGCTAAGTGAGGAAGCTTCAACTGGAGAAAGAACTCCTTCTTACAGTGAAATAAGTCATGCTCCAGTGGATAGTTTTTCACTTTGCAAAAAAGGGAACTATCGGATCCAACTCTAATGTTGATTACTCTCACAGAGTAAGCTTCCATGCTTGTTTCCTCTAATGTGTACTCCAACTTATCTTCCCACCTTTCTTGACTAGGACAGCTGCTTGATGATGCAAATTTTTAAGCATGACAGCTATATTTTGCAATAAATTGAAATGTGCCAGATAGTTTTATGAGCTTGAAATACTTAAAGTAGTAATGACTGCTCAGCAGATAGTAAAAAAAAAAAGAGGATGCACAACAGATTGAGCCAACATTAATAGTATTACCTTTTCAGATTCAGCCAATCTTTTGCTGTTCTACTGAAGGTCTCAGAATCAGGTGCTGTCATGGCTTCAAAATCAACCAACTGGAACACATACAACAATTCATTAAAAAAAAGATTTAAATTTATGCCCCTCAAGGTTGTGGATGTATATCCCCATGTGGGGAAGACCTGAACACTTCTGACTTCTTTCTCACACATGGTGCTGCTATAGAGCACTGCAACTGTGATATGCTCAAGGTTAACAGCATCATTTCAGGGGAAAAAAATGTTTATATCTGAGAACCATAATCACAGAGGACTGATGATATGATTCTGCAACAAGTGCCCAAAAACTACGATAGATTCAAAACACAATTGTCATGTTGGCATCGTTTTAGTATTGGAAAGATGACACATGGCGCTGCTATAGAGCACTGCAACTGTGATATGCTCAAGGTTAACAGCATCATTTCAGGGAAAAAAATATGTTTATATCTGAGAACCATAATCACAGAGGACTGATGATATGATTCTGCAACAAGTGCCCAGAAGCTACGACAGATTCAAAACACAATTGTCACATTGGCATCGTTTTAGTATTGAAAGATGTTTCCGTTTAAGGAACTGTAGAACAAAGTTTGAGTCCAGTGGCACCTTTAAGTCCAACAAAATGTTATTCAAAGTGTAAGCTTTTGTGTGCAAAGCACACTTCAGACAAATTGGTATAAAATCTCCTCAAGGGCTACTTACAGGAAAAAAAGAGGGTGAGGGGCAGCCATTAGGAGGGGCTACGCAGAGCCAAGATGCATATGCAGAGCTGAAATTGGATCAGGTGGCCAGCAAGGTCAATGGACGGCAGCAAATTAACACGTAAGGGCAAGAGTTAACAAAGAGATGTGATAAGGAAGCTAGAGTGCAGTGGTACCCCCAAGACAAACCAAGCTCAACCTTATGTACATGCGAGAACAGAGACTCAGCATGAAAAAACTTTGTTGGTCTTAAAGGTGCCACTGGAGTCAAACCTTGTTCTGCTGCTTCACATCAACACGGCTGCCCCCACCTGGATTTAGGAAACTGTGGGAGCCAGGATCTTTGCCATATATGCATCAAAACAACTCCCACAATATACTTTACAGAAGACACTGGACACAACAGTGAGAAGTAACCTTCTTGCGTCACATTTACATATAACAAGCTGCCTTATTTATTCTGGCATAGTTCATACATCATACCTTTCCTTTAGGAATTTTCCCAGATACTTCTTTTCCACTTGCCATCAGTGCTCCCATTATCACCGAATAAGCCACTACACTAAAATGAAAAACAAAAACAAAAAACTCTGCATATCAATGTTCTATAGGACTGGAACATTTGGATGCTTCAGAGAAAACTACTTATAGGTTAGACAGATAAGGTTAAACAGATATCTTTACAGAGAGTCTGTATCCTAAGTGTAGTGAACTAACACATGCATAGTCTGTGTATGTTTAATAGTTCTGCTGGAAAATTCATTATTTGTATTATGCTTATTTCAGACTGACATTCAATGGAAAACTCAACAACACAGGAAACATAAATGCTGATATAGAGATAATTAGCTGATTGTTATTTAAAAGATCTTTTCATTGAGAAATAGCTATAGGCCAAATTAGACCTAATATTTTCTCCGCAAGTCAGGTCTGGGTTTCCCCAACCGACTTTCATTCACATCAGTCAGACAGCAGAGCTCAACCTCTTCCAATTCTGCTCCTTGTTACAACCCCTGTTCCACATGGCTTTTTCCCATGCAGATCCTATCATCACAAACATAACTTTTTTGATGGTCGAAAGTGATCCTTTCCTTCCTTTTCACCAGTGGAAAAACTTGTAGGATCCAATTCGCAATCAGGTGTTGCTTGTTCCGCATGGTGCTAGCAGCACTGATTATTGGAGTGATGTATATCTGTCCTATGCCCATTCTGAACCTCTGATTAGTGACAAAGTTTTCAGATTGGGTAATGCCCTTAAGAGACCTGTAGAATGTTATGGGGAAAAAGATACTAACCTGGAACCTCTGGACAGAGGCATTAAGTTATAGAAATAGTATACAAGAGACAGGATCAGATTGCACACGGCATCTGCCTCCTAAGTAAAACAATACCATATCTTTAGCGTGAGAATACAATGCACATATATATTGTGTTAAGCAAAAAATTCAAAACATGCACACATTCAGCAATACATATTTATGCTTCAGTTGGAGTTATTTCTAATTTTAGATATTTCTAAAATATTTCTCTACATATGGCAACTGAATTATATAGGATTATAATATGCCAGATTAAACACTATTAGAACAATACAGCTTTTATATGGCAATATTAAGTTTTACGTCTTATGCCCAAACCCAATTTACTACCCTCTAGAACCCAAAAATGGCAAACACAAGTATTATTCATTTCTGTCAATTCTTTTTTTATAAACAGCTATCAATCCTTGATTCCTATAAAACTGTGAACATCAAGAAAATGAAATCTGATGGATGGAATTTATCAAAACACTTATGGAATTTTCATTACAATGTATTCTACAGTCAGTATAATTCCTTATTAAAAGGACACCACAGCAACATGACAAGAACCTTATCACATACTTTGTAGAAACAAATAGTATGATTTTTAAGAAGATACGCTAAAATGCAGTATCAGGCACACAGCTTAGCCAATAAAACAGAAAACATGGAATCATAAATGTAAATTAACACAGCTGAGACATAATTAAAGGGGGCTGCGGTTGAGAGGAAGGCATCTGCTTTGCTAGCTGAACAAGGACCCAGGATCAGCATTTCTAGTTAAAAGGACCAGGCAGTAGGTGATGTGAAAGACCTCTGCCTGAGACCCTGGAGAGCCCCAGCCAATCAGAGCAGACAATACTGATCTTCATAGACCAGTGGTTTAATTTAGTAAAGTGGTTTCATGTATTGAACCTGTCAGGTTAAAAAAAATTCTACAGAACCAAAATAAAAGCACAGCAGCTCGCAATATATGGTCTACTACTGTTGAACACTGTATTAAAGCACATTCTAGAGGTGGAAACTGATTTCACAAATAAAGAATGTGCTTAAAGAATACAGAGATTATGACTGAAATCCAGGAACTACTTTGACTCACACAAGAGGCCTGTGCTAGCCCACCGGAATTTTTTTACTTCATTTCCTTTGATCAGCTGAGCCCTTGTCACAAATCAAAGGGAGTTTGCCAAGAACAGGGACAGCAGTTAGAGAAAAACCAATCTACAGCCCACTTGAGCTCATGGATCTTAGATAATAAAAATAAGGAACGGAAGACCTTACCCCAAGTTCAGGAGATAAAACAAGTATTTTTCCTTTGGCAGTAAGGTCTTTATAATGAGCATCTATTTCTGCATGATACAGTTGTGTTCTTTCTTCAGTTGTCTGTGTTTCCAGTGAAAACAATATATTTCCAGTCCTAAAAACATGTATATGAATGCTCATATCAAAACATGCACGAAATATGTATAGAAACTATGACTGCTCTCTTTAAAATTCATTCCAACTGTCAGTTAGATGCAGAAATGAAAGCAATCTAAAACAATCCTTTTCCTTCAAAGGCTAAAATTAAAAAAGCAGTATCAAGACAACTCTTTTTGCAGACCCTCCCCCCCACTTTACAATACTAGGTACTTCCAAAAATGCTTATGTTTATATAGACCATAAATCCTGGGCAGAAGCAGTGTTTGCATGGATTGTACTCCTAGCTATTACAGGTTTCCATGTACACTGAGTAGAGATAATTCAAAAAAGGAAAAGTGTAACAGTGTAATTTAAGAATTACTTCTACAGTACTAGGTCACAGTGGAACTGCTGAACAAAAATACTGGGTTAATCCAAAGATCCATGAGCAAATTTCTATCTGTTCCCTGCATCTCTCTTCCCACTTCACCCCCTCCCTCCCCATCTGAAAAGCTGCTCCAGAAGGTCAGGCAGGGAACTAACTGCAACAGCACAGGATGCAACAAGTAAACACAGCGGGAAGAGGGAATCAGCAGAAATCAACTGCTGTTGCATGACTGGAAATGCAGTTCCCACTTGTGGAAGGCAGGTTTGGAACCAACTCACTATAACCCAATTCCATTACTGTGTAATTACTACAATGTTGTTATATTTACAGAACGATTATGCTGAGCAAGGGGATTAAGAGGCTTGGCAGGCAATGTCAGGCATCAGAATTTTATTTTGGTGTGTACTAAAGAAGTCTCCTATAAGGATAGATTAAACAACAGCAATATATACAATCTATAAACAATTAGTGCTCTAGGATTTTGGAGGTTGTATGATTGTAGAGTGATTAATAAAGTAGTAGTTAAAGCATCAAACAGGGGTGGCCAAACTTGCTTAATTTAAGAGCCACATAAAATAAACATCAGATTTGGAGAGCCACAACACACACATATTTTTATTGAAAAATATGCAAATTTGCTTTTTACTAACATTAAATGAGACTGCCAAAAATAAAAACCAATGGGGTAAAACCAGATATTGATAATGATATTTATTTGTCCAATGATATTTATTTGTTTGCTAATGATATTTATTTGTCTAAGAGAGAGAGAGAAAGAGAGAGAGAGGTGGAAAGAAATAATGAAAGAGGTGGAAAGGGCATGCCTCCCCTTCACTTCCCCAGCCACCCTGCCAGGAGCCGCACAATAGGTGTGAAAGAGCCGCATGGGGCTCCGGAGCCGCAGCTTGGCCACCCGGGCATAGAACATACTTTCCAAACAAAATAAACCCCCCCCCAACCTTTACAAATGGCTTTAATTTATTGAAATGTTAATTATAACAAAGGACGGTAAGGTGTTAGGACAAACATTAAAAAATAAACATACTTATCTCCTGTTATGGTAACAGTAAATCCATCATATTCCTTCCCTGAATCTTTGAGGCTAGGGACTTTGGTGTTGACGGTAAACCCATCTCTCGTTTTACTGCTTAACTGTTTTCAAACACAGGAAAAATGGAAAACAAGATATATTTTGTCCTTTGTGACGTACTAAAAAAATATTTAAGACCACTTTAAGCCTTCCTCATGCTACAGAGATTGAATCCAAAAGGGACATGTTTTCTGTTAAGAACTCTGATGTCAGCCAACAGACAAAAGGTGTTTTCACTGCTAGGAGAATTTCACCTGACACCCTCTGGGCTCTTAAGGGGACAGAAGATTTGCCTTTTTAAGGTTACAGTCACCTCAAATGGCTCTAAACCTTAACTATAGTACGTTTACTGAATTGCAAAACAATGGAATTGGTTTTAAACTTATCATACTACAGAAATGCTAGAAACAGAAACAGCATTGTATATTTTAATTGCCTTAATTATTTGATTCTTAATTAAGCAGTCATAAAGTAAATAGAAATCGCCAGCAGGTTATCATGTGTGGAAAGCTCCCCTACTTTTCTCCCCCACCCCCATTAAAATATGCTTAAGTGGGCATGGGGAAACAAAGTTTGAGCATCCCTATTTTTATTTGCTGGAAAACATCAGAAGCAGAGTGAGACACAAGCTGTCCATACCGAGATGTACAGTCTCAGCTCAGTTCTTACTACCCTTTGTACTTTCTCTACAAGATGACGAGATGCTTCCCACTTCAGACATTACAGAGGAAGGGTGGCACCATATACTCTTCCTCTCCAGCTCTCACAAACCAACGTAATGTCTGAAACACTGACAATAGAGCCAGAAACAGCACCCCCCCCCCAAGAACCTGTTCCTTTTCAAGACAGCTGTGCCAGAACTATGGCTGGCCCAACGTCATCCAGCCAGGTCCAAGTGGAGGAGTGGGGAATCAAACCTGGTTCTCCCAGATTACAGTCCGCACGCTTAACCACTACACCAAACTACACCATACTGTATTTGCATGACTTCCTCTTATTGCCAAAATTTGTTGGAAGGGGGAGATTACCTTCATTATTGGGAGAAGGTCTTCTACTTTATGTACCTGGTCCAGTGCTTCTTGAACTTCTACAAGTTCTCTGTGATTATTAGTACTGGAAGTTAGATAATAGGTTTAATGCATTTTATTATTTATACACATTTGACCATCCCAGTCTATGTAACTGAGATTATTTCTAACAGATATTCTGAATACTGTAATATGCTACAGAACTGCAAAGTATTGCTATTGCTACACCTAGCCTTTCCTGATCAAATCTTCCTGTTTAAACATGCATTTGTTAGTATATTTGTTAACCAGTCTGATTGCATCATTTATATTTTATTATACTCCTGTCTTGCTCTTAGATGGGAGAACTTAGTACAGAGCTGCCCATCCCCCCGCTTGAGGGTTCCTGGGCTGAAACACTCTGGATCCAGTACATCATGAATGGAGTGAATCTTTTAAAGTTATTGTTATGCCAATAAAGGTTATTGGAACTGGAATGGAGTGAATCTGCTGAAGGAAATGTTGTTGCTTCTCCCTTTCCACCATAGAGCCTTGAACATAACACAGGATGCACTGCAGGAGACCGGGTCTCCCTACTTTCACCTAAATTCTGCAAAATGCAGAAAATGCAAAAGAGTACAATTGTTGCTCAGTGCCTTGTTCTCACTGCAACTGCCCATGCCATATTCCATGCCATTTGTGAGGGGTCCCATTCAGCCCTCAAGAGTAGGTAAGGGGGGGGGGACAGAAGAGGCTACATTAGGAAGAGGAAAAGATCTTTGAATACTGCTCTGTAACTTCAGAAACGGATTTAAACTGGGGTTTCCTCACATTCAGCCTGCCACTCTGGATGTCACTGTCACTCTCCATGCCTTTGAAAACTATGAACTGTTTTAAAATCAATAGGCTAAAGGTCAAGTCCAAAACTTGATTTGCATAGAGTTAAGGAAGAGTGCTGACACCTGAAAGTACAGCAGTAAAAAGTCATGAATATTAAGGTTATTCATTAGTTCTATTTGCCAACCTTAACAGTAATTTAAAGCCCTTCATATCCACGGCATCTACTATAAAGCCTTCCAAAATCTGTTGAAAGAAGTTACAGGAGGGAAATCAGGTCCTTTACTCCATCAATTCTGAACTGCTTTTCAGAGGATCCTCTTGAATCAGAAGTGCGTATGGGTTGTACCAGGGTTCCCCAACCTTCGGGCACCTTTGGAATTATGACAGCACTGTGGGTGCAGCCACAAGAATAGACAATACAACACCAGTATGGATTTGGAGAACTTTGTTCAAATCTTTACTTAACAGAATGTAAATGCTCAAATTTTTGCTCACCAAATGCTACTTTTTTGCCCAGGCCATCTGCATCCCTCAAACTGCTGCTCCTGAGGGTTGGAAAGCCCTCGGGGATGCAACTGGGATGCAGTGCTCTAGAAACAGGGATTTGGTCCCCTTCTTATGAGAGCAGTTGTCACCTACAATTGTACTCACAACATTCCTATGAATTTGCAGATGATGAACAGCAGGTAAGATATTACAGACTTGCTTAAGGTTGTCCATAGCTGCAAACTAATTTCAACCCCAGCCAATCCAAAAGTGGGAGAAACCTCAAATCTAATGGATCACAGCAGCTCTCACTTTAAAAAAATGTATAATGTTCTTCCTTTAAAGTACTGGAGTGTGATCCGTAGTGAAGCCTGTACTCAACTCTCACATTAATTTCACTGGACATGCAGGTGTTTGCTATAGTGTAAAATGTATAATGCATAACCTAACCATTTTAACCTAACCATTTCTATGAAACTATACAAAGAACGGAAACAGTTCTTGCAACTAGTCACGAGGGAAGAGTGTGTTGTTTTCCCTCCTTCTAGGTAACACTACTGGCCTTTGTTTCTTCCTTTTTGTTCTTTCATGTCATTTAATATGGATTCTTGCCCTTCCTGCATCCCTCCTTTCTCACCTCCTAATCTGCCCTGTTCTTCTCACAGTTCTGCTGTTGCTCTGCTCTCTTCTATATGGTTAATGAAGCACTCAATAGTTTTGATCCACCTGTTCTAAATTCTAGTAAACTTTGGCCTCCTAAACCTAGGTTAATTCCCTTTTCACCACTATCCTTGACCTGTACTCATGTTTCTGTCCATGCATGGCAAACATCCCATCCCTTCTTGATATTATTCAGTTTAGATTTACATTTTGCGTTCTTGAGCTCCTGCTGAGCATGAAAATTTCTCTAAGCTTATTCATTTCCTAATTTCTTCCCCTAAGATCTTTTTCTATTTTCATGAACTTCTCTACCATCTTCTTGCCCATTTTATACTTTCCTTTACTCTTGGGCTTTAGGGGAATTCTTTATGGAGTTCTTCTATTTGTGTTGATCTCCGTCTTTTTACTACTTTCTTCTAAGGCTCCAATAATTCCTTGGGACCAAGCCCTACTGAATAACATGGAACTTACTTAACAAGTAGATCTTAAGATTGCTCCCTTAGTCTTCTTCATAGAAATCTGCTGTTTCTCTCACTTCGAAGGAACGGTCTTGACACTATTTTTAATTCTCCTATTTCTCTTTCATCATTCCCCTAGAAAGCTCTTGAATGTCTTACTGTTGCGTTTTCCTTCTACTAATTCACTGTTCAGTCCCTTTGTGTCTTTCTTGCCATTTGACTGAACGTGCTCTCCCATTTCCAATTACGTTTTACTTGCTGAGCCACATAATCAATTTTCTGTTCTTTTCCTTACCTTCAGCCTTTGATATCACTATGCTCTTCTGGGGCCATGGCTCTCCTGGTCTAATTTTCACCTGTCCTACTGATACTTTTACACACACATGAATGATAATAATTTTCCCCAGACATTTCCAGCTGGAGTTGCTCTAAGCTCTGTTATGTCTTTTCATTTCCTTCTTGTTTATCACTTCTACCCTGATAGCTTGCTACTACACTTTACAGGATCTTTATCTTCTTTTTCTAATATTTCTGCTTGTCTGGTTGCTGTTTCAGACTAGATTATTCTCACCATCTTATCCAAAATTGAAATACTGGCCTGTCCTCCTCCTTCAATGTATGATCACCTTATCACTCTCTCTCTCTGGGTAATGCTTCTGTTTTCTTCTCACCCTGGGAGTCCTCATTCTCCTTCTTTTCTTCTTTTATTCAAGCCACTTGCCATTTCCAACTTTTAGAAAAACTAAAATACATTCCTTTTTGTGTCTCCTGCTTCTGCAAAACCATTGGTTTATTACTTCCTGTTGCTGCAATTACCTTCCTCCTGGTTTTCTTCTCTCTGCTTCACCTTGTCCCTTTCCTTCTTGAAAGTGCCGCACATTTGGTTTTTTGCTGCATTTCACCTTGGACATGTTTCTCTTTTGTCACTCTCCCTGCACTAACTACCACTTCAGTTTAAGCTGCTCTTTTTAATTGTGAATCTCTTCACTCTGCTCCATTTACCTTTGTTGACTTTATTCCTCTGACAGGTTCTTCTTGGTTCAAGCTTAGATCACTCCTATTTCATGCCCCTCATGCTGCCTGAGCCTCCTGTCTCTGGAACTCACCACCTCCAAACATCCATGCTCTCTTTGCTCACAGCTGTTTAAACATTTGAAAACATCTTTCTTCTCCTTTATCTGGTGTCCCTTCCTTCTTTCCTTGTTGTCTCCATCATCTTAAAATATGTAATCCTATGCAGTGCCCAGCTTGATGTTTTTTTTAAAAATACTGTTATTAATGTAAGAGAAGGAAGAGTATATTTACCTATGATAAACAAGGATTCTGTCTTTTATAAAATCGAGTATCTTTTCAAAATAGTCAAGGTATCTCATATTAATCACCTGCCCCCTGTAGATAAGAAAATGTTCAGAAACAGGACATTCAGCACTTAATTGGCACCTATATATTAATAAAAGTGTACAATTACTATATAGTAAGATAGTGAAGTTCAAATTTTCTCAAGAACAATTTCAACACCAACTTGCCTACTGTGGATCTCCTGAATATCACAGAAAATTCTGGACATGTCTGAGCAGGTACTTTCTCTGCTGAGCATTGGTAAGGCTTTTTGGGTTTAGCTATTGCCACGTGTGAATTAGGAACACATGGTACTTCTGTGAGATTATACATAATGGGAGACAAATTATCTTTGATGCATCAATACTTTCCATTTTTGTTGCAAGCCATATCAGTTTCTGCAGAATGCTGCAGAACACAGTCTGAATGCTAAGTGCAACTAGGATATGAAAAATATAGCAAAGAAACTGAAAAGTTGTCTAGTTGATTATTAACAGCATTCTTACAGCTAGTGGTCCACATAACAAGATTGAGCACATAATTTGTGCATTTTTATACATTTAAGAATTGAAAGTAATTGTTATTACTATTTAGAGGTGACAAAATACATAAACAATCAGTAAGCATATTATCAGTATTCTAGTACTGACAATAGTATCTGCTGGAAGCAGTATTTCTGAAGTGTCACATCTATAATGTTGCAGTCCCTCTGTAAGTCAATGGAAGCACATTAAGGTACTGAACATACATGAATAAGATCTGTCTAGACTCTTACTGACCATACACCACATTCGTACCCCAACCATATACAACCCCAATGGAAAAACAACATACCATTATTGCATTTGTTGAAGTCCTCTCTCATCTCCCAATCTACAAAACAAGATTTTATGAAGCAAGCATTGCAGCTGCAAATATCAGAAGACAAAACTACTTGTCAATCACAGGGGTTAATTATGTAATCCATCTAGAGGTCCCTTTACCTAACTTTGTTACGTTTAGTTACATTTTACTCCCCTACTGGTTAAAAAAAAAAACTATTGTGCCCAAACAAGAATCACAAAATAATTGCTACTGAAGGAAGTCTGAAAATAGGGCTCCTAAGGGAGACTCACTGATGCAGTTTGCCAAAAAAACAAGGATTTTTTTTAAAACCAAGGATTTTTTTAAGAGAAGAAAGGAAGGTGATAATTATATGTATTTATCTCTCATGGTACATCCTGCAGTCGCACATGCTGATGACATGGTTCAAGCCACAAATGCTGGGTAACTCTGCACAAATGTAAAACTAATTACACTACATTTAAAGTGAATGTGATGCCTCTCTTTATAGCTGAAGCTACTGCAGTGTCATGAGGGCCAGAGCCTCTAAGACTGCAAATACACAATACTGTGAGAATAGTGACAGCCTCTATCAGTGTATGCCCAGCAGACTTCAGATCTTCCACTTGTGTGTGTTAACTGCCATCAAATGACTTCCAACTGATGGTGTCCCTATGAATTTACATCCTCCCAAACATACAAATAAGTTATATACATTTTAAAAAAATGGATTTGGATGTGGAACAAAGACAATTGAGCAGAAACATCACCTGCATGAAAAACTGGCACATTTGGTAGAGGCTGAACTCAAAAAGACTGCAACAAGTTACTTTTTGTAAAGTATAGGCAATTGAGTAGACTGCTTGCAAAAGCAATACATTACACTATACATACATTTATTTTATTAAAATTCCAATCCAATCCAATTACCTTTACTGGCATGTAGTTTAAAATTCTATGTTACCTTCCTGCCGACAGAGTATACACATCTACGTACACAGAAACTCAAGGGAACTCAAGGGAACATTAACAGAAATTCAAGGGAACATTACTAACATATTAACAGAGAATTATATGTGACTGGACTAAGAAAAGAAGTTTGACAACACACAGAAGAAGCCCAAGAAGATTAATTGGACATTACTAACAGTTTAATTTACCAGTTTATATATCACTCAGCTTTCTCTTTCTCCCGCTGTCTACCCTTCCCTTTTTTTTCTTTTAAGCGAAATACCTCCCCTTTTTAGGGGAGCTAATAAAATCTTTACAAAAAAAAAAAAAGCAATACTTGCATGGAAGTTTTACTAAAGCTAATAAGGCATCATGCAAGTTTTATACTTGGATTATACCCACACCTGCAATAGTTATTCTAGTCATGTTTCAGAAATAAAAGCAATATCATAACTAGGATTCAACGGCTCTTAATATTGGGGAAAAACTGCACACCTTTGAAAGACTACTTGTACACCTGAATGCAAACCCCTGTGATTGACAAGATTTTTGCCATTTTTCCCTTCAAGACTTTGTGAGCCCTCCAATGCACACAATCTTGTTTTGTAATATAGGAGAAGAGAGTATGTACAATAAGGGCTGAAATACTTTTTGCTGACAGCTGGGCCTTCTTGTGGTGAAGCACACCAGAATGCAGAATTATCTCCCTTTGGATGTATTGTTACCGTCTAAGAGACATCTGCTAACATTTTAGAGAGGAACCACTTCAGATAAGGAATGAAGGGCAACAGTGAAATCAGACAACCCAAAACTATGGAGAATATTTATTTTGCCCACAAAGCAAAACAGATGTACAAGTTCAGGTAACAAAGGAAAAAAATGGAAAATAAGGACTATATTTTGATCTCGAAAACACATACAACATGAAGTTTTCACTGGAAGAAGCATGACAACATTTTTTAAAAACGCCCAGCAAAACATGTACGAAAACATCAAGACATATTGTACCATGCACAATCCTAAGATTCTGGCACAACTTTCACTGCAAAAAGAGATTTCACCATACCTGATTAAATTGATATGATTATTAAAACCTCTGCTAAGACTCTGAGATGGCATTTGGTCTAACCATAGTACAGGCTGGTCCGGGTCAGCAATCCTAAAAGAGACACTGCATTAGCATGATTAAGGATTCAACAACTGTATAGATTCAAACACAACCGTATGTTTGATTCCCTGAATGGCCCCCACCATTGGAACCAATAGGGCCATGCCACATAGGGGATACATTATTACAAATCTGGGGGAATCCTCGGCATGTAGACATATGTGTATGTGCACACACACACTAAACAAATACACACGTGCATGGTGATTTACAACGTTCAGTGCACGCATGCACCATACCAACCATAAAAAAATGGGAATTTTTAGAAGGATTGGCTGGGGGGTGTTTGTGGAAAAAAACACAAGTGGGAGGGTGGAGAAGGGGACAGAACAAGAATGGAGGAACTGGGGCCTGTAGGAGGACAGCACAGGTCTCGGCTCTTGTTTTTCCATATTTTTTTTCTCCCTGGTGTGCCTGGCAGAGGTTAACTGGAGAGCAGAAGCATTTTTGGAGAAATGCTCACAGAGGCCTTAACATCAAAAATTATTTTGCAGAAGACAAATCCTAGAGAGACAGTCAGCCAAATTACTATATTTGCTTTTTCTCTAGCAAATAGCCTGGCAGCTTAAACATTTCTCTAGACTTTCTGGACCAGAGTCCACTTCATCACACATATCCCAGATGAAATCCACAGCAGAAGTGAGGAGACAGAACTCTAAAAAAAAATTATGCATGCAGTTTCCTCGGTACTTGTTGCCTGTATTTATGCGACCTACCTACAGTTCAACTCTGTATGCCTGCTAATGTAATCAAATCCATAATGCAAAGACTCTTCTTTTTTATTACCTTCTCCATTTCACGGCAATGTCAAACATATCTCGCCACTGCATCAGCCTGGATTTTCCATTTATTCGGACTTTTGAGTTCACCCATGTTCGCTGTACTGCTTGCATTACTTCTAGCACAGCTAGACCCATTGCTGAACAACAAACACACCATGTTACTAGTTATGCCCACTTGCATTTGGGGCAGCAATAAGTACAGCGAAGGCAAGGACAGCATATGGGATTTTGTTTAATACCAACATGAAAGGCTTATTTTAACTATTTACAGGTTATCATTAAAATATTTTATGCCGACTTTCCACCTGATCAGGGTCCACAAGGCAGTGAATACAAAAAACATTTAAACAATTAAAAATAAAGTTAAAACTATAAAATAATTCAATTTTAAACACAAACAAACAACACTAGAAGGAAGGCCAATAACCATTATTGGGGGTATGCCAGACAAAACTAGTCTTCACCCCCTGGTGAAAGACACTGATAGAGAGAGGCAGACAAATCTTGCTGAGGAGGGAGTTCCAAAGTTTTGGGGCCATGACTGAGAAGGCACTTTCTTTGATTGCCACCTTTTTAGCTTCAAGTGGCGGGGGGACCAAAACCAGGCCTCCATAAATGACCAGGGTGCATGGGGAAGTTCATATAGGAGGACGCAGTACTTAAGATATGTTGGTGCCAGGCTGCACAAGGTTTTAAAGGCCAATGCCAGCACCATGAAATGAGTCTGGAGGCAAACTGGAAGCCAGTGTAGATGGAACAAGCCTGGGGCGATATGATCCCCACGACCTACTCCAGTCAGCAATCTGGCTACAGCATTCTGTATCAATGGTAGCTTTTGGACAGTTTTCAAGGGCAGCCCCATGTAGAGTGCATTGCAGTAATCTAATCTAGATGTTACCAGGACACGCACCACAGGGGCAAGGTCTTTATTACAGTATGTAATAGCTTGGAAAATGTGAGCATTTTTGTTTAATGAATGAATGACCTAGAATTTTCAAGAAAGGGTTTGAAGCTGCCCATCAGTACTACTTAAAAGTTCTGTATTCAGTTGCAATCAAGGAACTGTTATCCTATTTTTATTTCCACATCCAGAGAATGTTTTTTCCAGCATACCTCTATGTATTCTCCTGTTTGGAAGAAATCCTGTTGTCTCGTATTGCATCAGTGAACCCAAATGATCAGCTACACATATCATCTCTTGTATTTCGGGTTTATAGTTTTCAAATTTCTGATGCAGCACATCCCTTAAAATCATAAGCAAAATATTAAACAACCAGGTGATTCCCAAGGAGGCTGCTTCTTCATGGAGATGCTTCCCTGAGTAGCTCTTGTTGCTGCAAATGCCTTTGCAGTGGCAATGGAGTGTCCCCACACAGCTGTCTGGAACACAGCTGAACATTCTCAATGAAATTATATGGTATAATCCAAATATGGTGTGATTTTTATAATGGTAGACTTTTTATAAGTTAATTGGTCATCTCCTTGGACCTCATGACACAAATATACCATATCAAAGATACTGCTACAGCCACTAAACATCTGTCAGACACTAGGCAGGTTTCAAAATATTTGGAAAACGTCTCACATTTTAGGTGACAGCCCCTCACTCTAATCTGCAGCTACTCAAAATGAACAATTCAGAGATATCCCATACAAAGAGCCACCTGCAACTTGTTGAAGACTAAGTGCCCTTATGCATCATTATTAAACATTTCCACCAAAATTCTCAAGTCTTAAAAGGGGCAATAAATGACTCACTTTATATGTGGTTGTAACCCTGGCTGTTCTTCATAGTCTTCTATGAGAAAAGGAAGATTTTTGGCCCAGTGCTCTTTAAACTTTCCAGAAAGATCCATATCCACGTTGTATTCTGAAAGTGGGGTATCCAGATGTGCATGCAGATGGCGAGAATATTCTGTGAAAGAAGTAAACATCACTGAAGGGTTTTTTTTACCCTGTCAGGCAAGTTAAAGGACCTGCAGACTGAATATTCTTCATATGATTCACTACTTTGATTTACTTTGAAAACCTTTATCATTCTGCTGTTCTCCTTAAACAGTAACCAAAGTATCTACAGAGAATCATATCCAAAATGTGCAACCCATACTTTTTGTCAGCACTGTGTGCCATTTTTGGTTGTTCCTCCTTCAAGCAAAAGGACTATTAAGTCACGAATGCAACGCACATTTTTTTTGCAATGCCAAGTACAAATCTCATGATACTGTCCTGGAGTTACTGCCCATAAGTGTAGCCTTTTCAGTGAAGATTTCCCACTACTGCCATTATACCTGGCGATTTCCTAAGTCCTCTCTCGTGCATACTTATCTCCCAGGCAAACCACATCAAATTTATCATGGTGTATATGTACACATCTGTAGAAATTTGCTCTTTGATCAGAAAAAAATAAGCTAACTTGTACAAAAAGGGAGAAGTATGTTGTACAGCACACAAAGATAGTGATGCTGTGAAATGAAATAGAAGGAAAATATAGTAACATAGTTTCTTAAAAACCAGATTAGGACCTCATTGTTCACTGTGGTAGCTAGTACAGAGATTTCAGCCTGCAGTTCAGGGTCTTAACCACTTGAGCCACCGCAGCTCGCCCTTCCCACTACAGCCCCTCAAAAGCCACTCCTGAGCATGGGACATGGAGTAGTGAAGATATTGATTATAGTTTCAATATTTTATTTTGTATTCCACTAGTATTTAAATAATTAGTAATGAGATTTCTTATATATCTGTATATTCTGAAACAAGCATATATACATTTTTGTATTTATGTGCAAGCATTTATTGCGGTATAATCTAGATATCCATAAAAGCTGCACACTGCCCAACACAGAGATGACATAAGTTTCTTTTAAAATATTCACTAGAATGATTACTACATTTATACAGATTTAAGACCAAAACCAGTGTTTTGTTAGCTTCAACTTACCTCTGAGGTATTTCACTTTTATGTATTCTGTACTAGCTTTCTGACCAGGAAGAGGATCATTTAACATAACTTTCGTTTGAGCTTTAATTCCTTCATAAAACTGCCCCAAAGTGACATGACTGAGACCTTTCATATACTGGCACACTTCATTATATGGTTCTAGTTGCAGGCATCTCTAAAACATTGGGGAAAAAAGAAATAATACATCTAACACAGTCATAATTTTTCAGATAACAGACCAAAGGACTTTATGGGCTATCTGAAAATATATGCATGAATAAAAGGAATTCTTTTTTCAGAATATTATTTCAATGAACTCCCATTAATGTCTACAATGTAATCTTCAAATAATTCTTAATTATGCTTTCTACAATCAAACACAGGTTAGTATTCTCAGCAGCAGTTACAACAGCATAAATAAAATCATTCTAAATCGCACTGAATGGTTTATCTGATCAATTTAGTCATATAACTAGTTGTGCTTATAAGAACATGATAATAGATAGGTAAATGTCAAGATCAGTGTTTACCTTAAAGTTCTTCAGAGCCTCCTCTAGGCTACCATGATGATATAGCATCATTCCCCCAAGCTGTATCGTCTGAACATGATTTGGGTTTAGCATCAATGCCTTCTGAAAGTTTTCTGTAGCAGCTTCAAAATTACCAAGTTCTCTAATGTATTCATTACGTAATAAATACCAAAAAAGCAATAATAGTTTAATTCAACAAAGCAATTTGGAATATTAATAACAAACATAATCTGTAAAAATTAAGTGTCCTCACTGAACATGTCAACCCAGTATGTGTGACTCATTCACACATCTGTTGCTCAGATCCTTAAAAATTAGGACACAGGAAAACTAACAATACAAGTTATTTTAGCCAAATGCACAGGGATAGACCTTAACTTTTCTACTTGTGAAAGGGAGGAGATTTTTTACTTCCTACTGAAGTCCCCACATTTCACCCCCCCACACACACACACACATTTCCTGGAGGCCCACTGACTACCAGGGACTGGACTCCACGGGGCCTGACAGATGGCATTGAGGGAGGAATTGGCAAAACTTATTCCTGCCCACCTTCTGCTTGAGAAGGTGCCTTCTGTAAACAAAAAACGTACATAGGCTCTATCAGTAATTTTATTCCAAATTCTTCTTCAGGTAACTTTTCTTCCCATTAAGATATGAGGCAAAAATTGCTGTGACATCTAACCTTTTTAGTAAGATCAGTATGTCTCGATGAAAAAAACTCCTCTCAACAAGCTCCAGCTTTAAGAACACTTTTATGTCAGGGGGGCCCCTGTGTGGTGCCCATGGGCATCATCTCTTTCTTTCTTCTTTTACTTAAACTTTTTTATTTTATTATTAAACAGACAAAAACAATAGCTCATATATAACAATATAGCAGCCAGAACAGTAATTACAATAATAACAAAACGATAAGTATTTAAACAGCGGGTTTTCATACTATAGCCCACCTATTATCAAGGTTAATATTGGACCAAACAAGGCAACATCCAATCTAATAAAATACAACGTCCATGTAGTTATTAGGTAATTTATATAAATCTTTTAGGTTTCAGGAAACCTACTCAAAAAAGGGTATCTTTTCTGGCACCCAAGTGTTTTTAAAAAATGGGTCCAGGCAGGTGGGCCTTTTGTTCAGAAAGGCTTCTGAGTTGTCACTGGAGATCTGATGGACTGTGACATTTTTTTTTAAATGTTGCTTCAGCAGCAACTGCCACCACAAGCACAAGGGTCTTCACTGCATGACTGAAGGTAAGCTGGGGAAACTATTTTGCAGCTAACTCTATCTCCTGCAGCAGCTATTTTATGGTAGCCATTTTGTGGCTGCGCCCACCACTCTGTGTCAGACTTTCAAAGGTGCCCACAGGCTCAAAAAAGGCACGGGGGCCCTGCTTTATGTGCTTCGCAAAATAAGGGCTGAACAGAGATAATTTTAAAAACTATTTTCTAGTTGCTTACCGATAGGCTTGCCCCAGACTTTTATATGCATCTATGAAATCTGCTTTCTGTTTCAGGGCTTCTTTGAATGATTCAATAGCTTCCTGTTTAAAAAACACAAATAGTTAACATTAATTAATTTCCCAAATAACATGGCTGGCGCTCCAGTAGAAGCCCTGGCCGCTCTGTGGAATATGGAAATGACCCAGGTGGTTGACACGATCGCTCCTAAGGGCCCTCTCTGTCGTAATAGCTCCGTGGTATACCATAATTCTTAATGTTTTTATTAATTGTATTTCATTGTTTCATATTGTTGTAAACCATCCAGAGAGCTTTGGCTACAGGCAGTATAGAAATTCAATAAATCATAATAATTTCTATTTATGCTTATTACTCTTGCTATGATTTTAAAAATTATCATGTTTAGAGCCAAGACTCCCTTCTTCTAAGTAGTTTTCCACTGTTACTCCAAGCTCTGTGGAAGGAGTCACTGGATCCAACCCCATGTAAATAGTTTAATGGAAGTTGTGACCTATGGCTTGTACAGGCAAACACCTCTATTTGTATCCAAACACAACCAGGGAAAAAACTTCCAGTTACAACTATGAATCAGTTAAAATATTTCCTTTATAAACAAGACTGAAATGCCCAAAATGTTTGCCTTCTCTTGGAGCTTACAACACACAGTACCATGCAAATATACAAGGTAGTTTAAGCAATACACATTTTCTGCATTATCATATATAAGCTTAACAACGAATTTAAAAACTGAGGACAGGAGTGCTTATAAAAATATCTATGTACCTCTTTAGTGTTATCTAAGCATGTCTATGAGATATTAATCCAGGATTCTAGACACTCAAATAATGCAAACTGAAAAATTACAGAAATTCCATTATTTGAGCTACCGGAAGTTACCATGACATATTTCAGACACAAATTAAGCCATCACTGCTGAGTTACTTTAAACTATTGAGGCTGCAAACACTGTAGAATCCTCATTGCCCAACTATGTT